TTGAATTGTGAAATTAATTCAAAACTCTTGGAATTAAAACTTTTAGACTTTAAAAAAAAAATGGTAATTCTAAAACTTTAGTACTTGTGAAATTAAAGAAATAGGCGAGACCGAGGGAGAGTTAAAGTTTGTTGAAATGCTTGGTTTCTAATTGGTCTTCCACTTTGGATGTTAATGATGTTTTCCGCACTTATAATTGCTGGGGCTTTATCATTTTTAACCATTTTATCTTCTTTATGAATATGCATGGGATATCTTGAATGAAAAATTATTATATAGTTTGGATTAGATATATAAATTTTTAGATTGATGAGAGGTGAGTTTTTTAATATTGGCTTTTCTCTTATTTAAAAAGTTTTATTTTTATAGTTTAGTATAGTTTAAAATGTAGAACAACAGACTCTATTTGGAAATATGTGGAACTTTTCCTCTGAATATTTTACTGATATTTTGACCTCCAAATAAATGTAAATGGGACCTTGGCTACTTATAAAAGGAAGAAAATTTCACAAGTATGAATTAAAAAATGGCTAAATAGGCAATACTATAATTATTATGCCATGTAAGATTATAAATTTATAATTATAATATATCACAAGCTACGTCACTTGTGTTTTAGGCTAAAACGTTTCTAATATAGACAACGAGAGATAGAAGGTAATTAGGGTGAAAAGAGATAGATAATGATAAATAGAATATAAAGAGTACTAAAAAAAATAATATAGAAGGAAAGATTTTGATGATAAAAAAATATAGAAAGAAAGATAAAGGAGATAAAAGAATAATAACATATTGATAAGTTGGATTTTTATACATGTTACAGTGGAATTGTTGCCTTGATGTTATTGATATTTGGATGAGTTTTATGAGATTTTACTGAGTTTTACACGGTTTTCATTCTTTGAGCAGAAAAAGACTTGAATGCATAAAAAAAGAGTTTTAGGATTAATTGAATATCTTTTGAAAGTCGAGGGACTGAATTGCAAGAAGAAGGGTGATTATTTGGGACCTTAATGAATGAATCTTGAGTTTTGGGATCTAAGTGCTCATTGTACAAAAATTGGAGGACATTTTAGCATTGAAGAAATTGCAAAATGAGGTTAGAAACTCGACACGAGTGTAGTATCGACACTATGCATGAATCGTCCAGAATCAAACTTTCTGTTTTCTGTTTTGTATCGACACATAATTTAGAGTGTCAGCAGCATATGTTTAGCGTCCAACATTCAAGTTTCCTATTTTGTTTCAAATCCTACTTTTATTCTAATTAAGGTTTTTAAAACCTTATAAATACCCATCTAAATTTAAAATTAAGGGAGCTGGTGGAGGCTGGTGGCAACCCTTTTTTAGGTACTCTTGGAGATGAAGATCGAGGATCCATCAATAATAAAAAATCAAGGAGTTCAATTTTCTCAAATTAGGTTTTATTTTTCCTAAGATTCTTTTTATCTATTGTTTGATATTTGAATATTCATAACTGTGATTTCAGATTTTATTATTTTTATTATGAATTAATTTATATTACTAGAGTTACGATGTAACCTAATCAATTCAATATAGATTTTGTGATTTTATGCTTTCAATTAATTAAAATTATTTGCATGAGGAGTTTATATTATTGAATTTAATGCATTGAAAACCTAATCACCTTTCGATTGATTTAGTGATTTATGTATGAACTTGAGAAAAAATTACATAAATTAGACCAATAATAATATAAACCGTGTGCTAGACTATGAAATCGAGAGGTAATTAGCTCATATGTGGTAGTGGAGGAAGAAAAAAGAGTTAGGAGCTCCCCCTTCTTAAATTAGAGGTTTCCATAGAATTTAATACTCATTAGTTTGTTTAAAATTATATAAAGATATAATTAATTTAACAAATCAGTGAAGGATTAACTTAACTTGAGAAAGTTGCTTAGTTAATTTAGAGAAATTTGCCATCACACGCAATAACACTCAACAATTTGATAATCCAAAATTCATATTAATTGATTATGGTGAAGTCAATGCCTTCGTATCTCATATCTTGATTAGCTTTATTTTAATTGTTATTTTCTTTTTATTCTTTATTAAATTTTATTCCTCTTCTTAATTGTTCAAATAAATTTAGATTAATTATTTTGGTACTTAATTAGACACAATTCTTGTGGGTTCGACACTCTTCTTATCGTTATATTACTTAGAGCGACTAGTACACTTGTTAGGGTGATTTTAGTGCATCAAGTTTTTTGCGTCGTTGCCAGGGATTGTTGAATTTAATTAATATCGAAGTTGATTAATTCTAGATTTAATTTGAACTTCTTTTTTTTTTATTTCTTTACTTTGACTTTTTTCTGGTTTCTTTGCTTTTTTTTTTGCATATCTAACTATGGATCGAGTTGCCATAGGTACTTATGTGAGGTATCATTGGTTTGCTCCAGAGATAAGGGCACAAGTTGAAGCAATAACTATCAATTGGGAAGCAGAACTTGATGATGATGAACTTGAAAGATTTCAAGCATTCATTGAAAAGATCAAATTAAAGAGGGCTTTAGTAGAACAATTAAATATCACGTGTGAATGATGTGGATTTGATCATTTCAGTCATGATTGCTTATTTAATTGATATAATTTACTCGACTTAGTTAATGAGAAATACAAGGTGAGTTACCTAGTGCAACAATGAAACATTAAGAAGAAGAGGAAAACACCTTATCTTTGGAGATTGGAGGACAACTTGGAGAAGTAAAAAGCATACCTGCAGAAACTAAACAAGAGGATGTCTTTAAGGAAGAAGAGGAAAGAGCTCAAGTGTCAATTGAAGTGTTCAATCGGGAGTCTCCATTAGTCAAATCTGATTTTAATGAATATTTTCTTGTTGATATGGTTGATGAGATTTTGCAGGAAAACACTTATGAGAATCCACTTTAGATTTATCTTATTCAAGCAAAGGAGCCAATCAAAGAATACATAAATTGCTTGAACGCATCCTCATCTTATTTGGAATCAAAGGGGGCAATCTTAGAAAAATTGGGAAGGCACATCTTTTGGCCTAAACCCAAACCACCACAAAATATTACGTGGAGAAAATCTTATGGTGGATTCAACTTAAGGGCAAAAAAACCAAGATTCAAGAAAACGACAGAACATGCCCTTCGACTTGATCCCAAACCACTTTGGAGTGGTAGAAAGTCTAGCTAATGACTTTAAATTAAGTGCTTCTTGGGAGGCAACCCAAGCATAAAATTTTCTTTTCTTTTATTTCTTTGTCTTTTATTTTAATAGTTTAGATTTTTTCTTTTTTCTTTTTTCCCTTTATGGCCTAGGTTAATGCATAAATTGTTGTTCTTTGATTTTGGCTAGGTCATTGAACAAGTTTGGGGGACAAGACTATGGAAATTCACATGCTAGAAGTCTCCTCTAAATGAAGACAACTCAACTTCAGAACTTCAATTTTAAGTCTTCAAATGCAAAACCTAGGAAGTTTTTCTTTTCTCTTACCTTTATTTTACATTGAGGACAATGTTTGATTTAAGTTTGAGGGAGAGAATAACTTTTAGCATCCATTCTTAGATTAGTTTGCATTCATATTTGCATAACATACATTTTTTTTAGAAATTACGGTTTTATTTTAGGAGTTGGTCCAATTAGAGTCAAAGAATTAAATATTCTTGAGTTGGTGATTCAAAAACTTCTAAATCTTTAAATTTTAGAGGAGATACAAAATTTGAAAAATAGCACCATTGTGATGAA